ATTTTCTTTGAAAGACTGGCTTTTCCTGACAGATACCAGAGCGAAGGAGATTCAGCTAAGGGGTATAAATAAACTCACAATTCTCTCTCCTGTTGCTGGGCATCTGACTTTAAAGAAGTGTGGAGTGTAGAAAATTACTTTATGAGCTAACTGCTCTAACAGTTTGGGGGCTAATTATCTGTCAACAATCATACAGCTTCTGCTAAACGGAGAGAGCCTCCAGTCTCATGTAATGTAATTGCCACTGAATTTTCCATAGGAGTTAATCAAGATCATTTAAAACTTAGCTGGCAATCTTTTTGAGGCTGGCAAAACCTAGATTTTTCTTCCTCTTTGGGTCTCTTTTTTCAGTCTTTGGGAATCTGCACAGGAGAGACAGATCCCACACTGTGTTGTCTTCTTGCTGACTCTTTTTTGCTCATTCTGAGTCACCCTGAAGCCTGCATTCCTTTAGCAACAAAGAGTACTTAATTCTCACCTTGCCTGCCAGCTAGCCATCTTCCTCTTCCTTCCCCTCATCCTTCCCCTCTCCAACATCCACACCTCTCCAACTTTCTCTTAGGTTTTCACCCATTTTAATATTTTCCCTGCTATGAGAGAGAGTGGGGAGGGAATGGGGATTTTGCAGTATCCTTCCCCTGCCACGCCCACCAAGCCACGCCCACCAAACCATGCCCACAGAACCGGTAGTAAAAAAATTTGGATTTCACCACTGACCCCATGCCTGTTTTCAAAGACAGTTTGGTGTAGTGGTGAAGGTACCAGACTAGAAACAGAGAGGCATAATCTCACTCAACTCTAGGAAAGAGTCAATGGCAAACTATTTCTGTAATCTTGCCATGAAAACTGCAAGAACTTCTCCAGGCCGTTGCTGGGAGTCCAGACTGATAGGACTGCAACAAGTATGCCTGGCTTTCAGAGTTTCAGTTGCTCATTTTTAAAAATTTATTCTCATTTTGGATCACGTCATCACCCTTCTGGGAAACAAATTATACTTTATAATTTTATTTGATCTCTGAACAATGGGACTCATGATGTCCACGGAAAGGGAACTATGATTAAAGGTCTGATGTGATATTCTGATGCAAACAATGTCCCTCAAATGCTGACGTGTACCCCAAGTACAAAACAGAAGAACCTGTTATCGTGATGCCCTTGCCAGATCCTGCAAAATTCTTTTTCCTCTTGAATTTACAAGTCTAACAGAATAACAGATTTGGAAGGGACCTTGGAAATCTTCTAACCCCCTGCTCAAGCAAGGAACCCTATACCATTGCAGACACATGGATGTCCAATCTCTTCTTAAAAACTTCCAGTATTGGAGCATCCACAACTTCTGGAAGCAAGTTGTTCCACTGATTAATTGTTCTCACTGTCAGGAAATTTCTCCTTAGTTCTAGGTTGCTTCTCTCCTTGATTCGTTTCCTCCATTGCTTCTTCTTTTGCCTTCAGGTGCTTTGGAAAATAGGTTGACTCCTTCTTCTTTGGGGCAGTCCCTTAAATATTGGAACACTGCTATCATGCCAGACCTCTAAGAAGACCTCAATCCATGTACTTTGTACCTTTGCAACATTGACATTTAGAAACTGTCATTATTCTATTGATAGCAATACCCTTAGACTTATATACCGCTTCACAGTGCTTGACAGCTCTCTCTAAGTGGTTTACAGAGTCAGCCTATTTCCCCAGACAATCTGGGTCCTCATTTTATCCATTTGAAAGGATGGAAGGCTGAGTCAACCTTGAACCTGGTGAGATTTGAACTGCCAAATTGCAGGCAGCCGGCAGGCAGCAGAAGTAGTCTGCAGTACTGCATTCTAACCACTGCGCCCCCGTGGCTCATATGATGCTGTGGTAGCGCAGTGGTTAGAATGCAGTATTTATTTATTTTATTTTTATTTTATTAAATTTCTATACCGTCCTTCTCCCGAAGGACTCAGGGCGGTGAACAGCCACAAGATAAAAACACATAAATACAAAAATTTAAAATAAAATAAAAACGAATTAAATAATTTGGCTGAACAAATTTAAAATACCCCATAATTTAAAACAAATTAAAATTTATATTTAAAAAGGGGAGAAGATTTAGGCCAGGCCAGTATTGCAGGTAACTCTGCTGACTGCCAGCAATTCGATTCTGAGCAGCTCCAGATTGACTCATCCTTCCATCCTTCCGAGGTTTGTAAAACGAGGACCCAGATTGTTGGAGGCAATAGGCTGACTCTGTAAATCACTAGGAGAGGGCTGTAAAAGTACTACGAAGCGGTTATATAAGTCTAAGTGCTATTGCTATTTTCAAAATGTCCAAGAATGCTAAGTTTGGTGGCCAAGATCTATTACTACAACTTTGGGGCACTTTTGTGTAACCAAAGAGAACCCAACCCTTATTACCAACCCAACCCCTCCCAAAAAGCTACTGCGCAACAAAGCCTAAATCTGGGCCTGCCGAATGATTTCATTCTGTGTTCATTATTTCCCCAAATAAACCGACAACGATAACAACAGTGATAACAGTGCCATGCTGAGTATGATGTATGTTTTTCCTGACCCCTCTCCTCCTATATTACACCAGACTGCCAAGCAAGTCACAAGATGTTCTGTGAAAGTAAATGAAATAAAAATATATTAAAAATGGCTAATTGTGTTTGCAATCAGTCCTGACTCTGGTACCATGACTCATTCCTTGCAAACATTTGTAGTTCAGTGAGAGTTTAATGCTTCCAAGTGCTTCTTATCTCTCTCTCTTTTTTTTTTTTATCTCCACGCAGAGTCAGCATTAGGGGCTTTCATCGAAATCCATTGTTACAGTTCACCGCTGCTCTCGCCAGCCAGATCTAATTATTCATAGCCCAAATGTTGACTTCTTTTTAGAACATAGAACATAGAATAATAGACATGGAACGGACCTTGGAGGTCTTCTAGTCCAAGCAGGATACCTTGTACCATTTCAGATAAATTGTTGTCCAATCCTTTTTGAAAGCCTCCAGTGATGGAGCACCCACAACTTCTGAAGGCAAGTTGTTCCACTGATTAATTGTTCTCACTGTCAGGAAATTTCTCCTTAGTTCTAGGTTGCTTCTCTCCTTGATTAGTTTCCACCCATTGCTTCTTGTCCTGCCTTCAGGTGCTTTGGAGAATAGCTTGACTCCCTCTTCTTTTTGGCACCCCCTGAGATATTGGAACAGTGCTATCATGTCACCCCTAGTCCTCCTTTTCACTAAACTAGACATACCCAGTTCCTGTAACTGTTCTTCATATGTTTTAGCCTCCAGCCATTTGATCATTCTTGTTGCTCTTCTCTGCACCCTTTCCAGACTTTCGATATCTTTTTTAATATTGTGGCGGCCAGAATTGGATACAGTATTCCAAGTATGGCCGTACTAAGGCTTTGTAAAGTGGTGTTAGTACTAATATTCAACTCTTGACAGTGATCCAAAGAAAGTTGGTATGTTCATATCTCATTTAGGAAAGGCTTCTTTGTGTCACTCCATTGATTGTGAATTTTGACTCAACCAGTTGGAATGAGTATTCAGGGTGTTGTAAATGGATTTCCCTCTGGAATTGCATGCTTGGTAGAAGAGGATGTCCATCCCAGATAAGAGAAATATCTTGTTCTTGGTCAAGGATATACAAAAATGGTATATCTGCTAGAATTTCCAGACAAACATAAGTAAAGGTAAAGGTTCCCCTCGCACATATGTGCTAGTCATTCCCAACTCTAGGGGGTGGTGCTCATTTCCGTTTCAAAGCCAGAGAGCCGGTGCTGTCCGAAGACGTCTCCGTGGTCATGTGGCCAGCATGACTAAACACCAAAGGTGCACGGAACGCTGTTACCTTCCCACCAAAGGTGATCCCTATTTTTCTACTTGCATTTTTTACGTGCTTTTGAACTGCTAGGTTGGCAGAAGCTGGGATAAATAATGGGAGCTCACCCCATTACGTGGCACTAGGGATTCGAACCGCTGAACTGCTGACATTTCGATTGACAAGCTCAGCATCTTAGACGCTGAGCCACCGCATCCCTTCAGACAAACATAGATTAACATATAAGAAGTATTTCTGAAGTACATTAATCAATTCCGCCCTCAATTTTTATTAATCTGAGGGTGTTAATGGGATCAATTAAAAAAGCATGCGTATGTTTGCAAATCCTAAATTATGTGGGATTCTGGTATGTGACTATATTACAGCATAAAATGATTGGAAACTAATTGCTCCAACTGGGACAGCTAGTTTTCATTCATGTGAGCACTACATCTTACACTTTCTTCAACATCTCAAATAGATACCCATAGTATAGTTTGGGGAATGTACAGAGCGATTTCAGATCATTGGTTGACCACCTAAGTATTGTTTTAGTTTTCCATAGCCTGAATGTGGAGATAATGTGGAGAATATCAGATAGTCCTCAACTTACAACAGTTCCTTCAGTGACTGTTCAAAGTTACGACGGGTCTGAAAAATGTGACATGACCGTTTTTCATAATTACAACCTTTGCAGCATCCCCAGGATCATGTGATAAAAATTCAGATGCTTGGCAACTGGTTCACATTTATGACGGCTGTAATGTCCTGGGGTCATGTGATCCCCTTTTGCAACCTTCTGACAAACACAATCAATGGGGAAGCCAGATTCATTTGACAGCCACGTTACTAGCTTTACAACCCCAGTGATTCACTTAACAACTGTAGCAAGAAAAGTCATAAAATGGGGCAAAAGATTCACCTAACAAATGTCTCACTTAAGAACAGAAATGTTGGGCTCAATTGTGGTTGTAAGTCGAGGACTACTTGTGTTTGTACTATCAGGGAGCAGAGAGAAAATATCTGCTGCGAACTCCACATAGGCGTCAGGAAGGGCATCCATCCAATAAACATGCTCAGCTCCATTCAGTCACCTCAACAGAAAGGGATTTCAGGTCATAAAAAGAAAAAAAAATGTACTACTAAATTTGAATATGGGCCTCTCATTTGTGTTCATTTCCTGTTGCCCCCTGCAGACAGCAGCTCAGGCGGTTTTATTTATGTGCATGAATACCGCTGGGATCTTCATTAGCTACCTGTCGGATCGAGCTCAACGCCAAGCTTTCTTAGAGACCCGAAGATGTGTAGAAGCTCGACTGCGGCTGGAAACTGAAAATCAGCGTCAGGTAAGGGAAGAGGGAACATCTAAAGAACTTCACCTGTGTGCTCTCCAGTGGTGGGATTCAGCCGGTTCGGGCCAGTTCGGGCGAACTGGTAGTTAAATTGCTGGCTGGCCCTTCCCCGCCCCGCCCCTTCCAGAAGTCCCCACATGCCCTGTTTTCACTCCCAGGAGACAGCAGAGAGGTCTCCTAGGCCCGAAACGGGGCACAGGGGAGTGTGGCACGGCCCCTACGCAGCCTGTTTTTGCTCCCAGGAGGCTGCAGTGAGGCCTACTAGGCCCAAAACGGGGCACGGGGGAGTGCGGCACTGCTCCACACAGTCCCATTTTGCTCCCAAGAGGCTGCAGGGAGGCCTACTAGGCCCAAAACGGGGCACCGGGGGGGGTGCATCCCCCCACGGCCCGTTTTTCCTCAAGGGGTGTGCAGGAGGCCAAGTGCTGCCTGTCACACCCCCTGGCCATGCCCACCATGGCCAAGCCCACCCAGCCAGTCATTAGGTCAGAGAACCGGTTGTTAAATTATTTGAATTCCACCACTGGTGCTCTCCATTCTGCCCTTGGCTTTGCAACAGTGGAAGACTTCTGGCAGCATTTTCGTTCTTGCAGAAAATTAAGAATACTGAATATTTTCATCCAATCTTCAGGTTTAGGATTAAAGCATCAGTTCTTCTTAGTGAAAAACACTTTACTTGATGCTTCGCTTTTCTCGCCTTAAAATAAGTTCCGTGCTTAATAAGAACTTAGCAACAATACATTAAATGCACTTGGAATGAAGACAAAAGGGGTTATTAGTGCTGTGATAAATGGCTTTTAAAAAAGGAGCAAACTCTTAAGCACCATAGGAGAAAATAGGTACTTTTTTTCTTGAATATTCTTTGAATAGGAGTTTACTGGTGGCCAGAGTCATTCATTCAGCTGAAAACCTCTAGATAGAAATGCGTGAGTCATCTTGCTTTAAGCTAAAATGTGAGATCATCCATAACTATTTATATTCAAACATTTGGGCATAGCACAGGGAGTTTAATTTTTCTCCTCTTTCAATGGAATGAGATATATGATAAGCACTGGTCCAAAGGAACAGCAAAAGTTTGTTCTACCCCAGGGGGAAGTTTTGGCGAATGAGGAAATGGATCTTGATCTAAAGTCTTTGATCTGTGAAGTGAGTTCTCGCCTCCAAAATTGCATGTGCTTAACTTTTTTTTTTTTTAAAGCTGAAAGACAACGGTGATACCAATAAAAAATAGCTTTAAGAATCAGAGATAAGGCCACACTTGGAATACTGCATTCAGTTTTGGCCGCCATGATGTACAAAAGATGTTGAGCCTCTAGAAAAAGTGCAGAGAAGAGCAACAAAGATGATTCGCCTAAAAAAGCCCTTTATCTCCCTACCGGCCAGACTCAACTGCGTGTCACTGATCTCTGCATAATCAGAAATGTTGCAGTCATCGGAACAAGAACGCCTCTCTGCAAAATATGCTGATAGCTTGATAACGATACTTACTACCCAGGCAGAAAGCTGCCATATGCTCAAAATTACATAGCCCTCCGGCCCCATTTCAGCGTTACTGCTAGTAATGCAGGCATAGTTCAAAAGTGGTTCTTATCTACATAGGGTCATAATAAAACCAATAAAAACCACTAATAAAAATAAAATCCACTTTAATCTAGTGGGTTAAGACACCAGGATAGACCACCAGGAGACAGTGAGTTGTAGTTCTGCCTTAAGCATGAAAGCCTTGAGTTATGTATAAAAATAATAAAGGGAGGATAATTTGTTTAAAAAAAACAAATTAATATTATTAGAAGATCAACAGCAAGTGGGAAGATCCCATATCACAATATCTGGACTGGAGGCTAAAACATATGAAGAACAGTTGCAGGAACTGGGCATGTTTAGTTTAAAGAAAAGAAGGACTCGGGGAGACATGATAGCAGTGTTCCAATATGTCAGGGGCTGCCACAAAGAAGAGGGAGTCAAGCTATTCTCCAAAGTAGAGAATAGCTTGACTTTTTCTACCTGAGGGCAGAAAAAGAAGCAATGGGTGGAAATTAATCAAGGAGAGAAGCAACCTAGAACTAAGGAGAAATTCCCTGACAGTTAGAACAATTAAATCAGTGGAACAACTGGCCTCCAGAAGTTGTGAATGCTCCAACACTAGAAGTTTTTAAGAAGAGAGTGGACAACCATTTCTCTGAAGTGGTATAGGGTTTCCTGCCTAAGCAGAGGGTTGGACTAGAAGATCTCTAAGGTCCCTTCCAACTCTATTATTCTATTCTATACCTTTCTCTAAAATGTTTGAAGATTCCAAATATTTTAGAATATTTCCTGAGTTATTTTGACACAAGGGAAGGTTTTTATATTTCTTTTCACTGCAAGTTGATTTTTTTTGGGGGGGGGAAACATTAATATCTGAGATATCTCCTTTTAAACAATGTTCCACGCACAGTTGTTTTTTGTAAAAAAGGAAAAACAATTCAATACATTTCAAAAGAACAGTCCAAGTGCTTATATTTTTATTCATTCATTCATTTATATGGCTGCCCATCTCCCCAGAATCTTCACCAATGAAAGATTCAAATGTCTAAATATTTTCCACTGAATCAATAGACTTCAGGTGAAAGTCGGTTTTTTTGCTTTTGGTTGGTTGCAATTTGATTGGTTCATTCAATCCAGAGACTATTAACTCGTCCTCTCCCTGTTTTTGTTTGTTTTTTCAGGAGCGGCTGGTTCTGTCTGTGTTGCCTCGATTTGTCGTGCTAGAAATGATTAATGACATGAGCAATGTGGAAGGCGAACATTTACAACACCAGTTCCATAAGATCTATATTCACCGTTATGAAAACGTCAGGTGCTTCTTTTTTTTTTTCTCCCAGATTAACCGTGTCTTCTTCTGCTGAATTCATGTTTGTCTTTTGGTCAGTTTCTTCCTCATTGGTTTGGAAGGTTAGGAGACGTTCCTGAATTGTTGAGTTTCTCTTCTTCTTGTTATTGTTATTCTTCGCTTCTTCTTCCTGTTTGAAACCAGGGAGATGTCCCTAGTCGAATTCCTCAAAATATCCCAGCCTTCTTTTGCTCGCTTCACTTTCTGTTACAAATGAGAGGGGATTTGATTTCATTTTAGCGCTCCAGTTTTCCATGGTAGCTCTCTGAGTCTGCCATCCCAAGCATGCTAACTTCAAAGGATGTATGGACAGAATTGATGGGACTTGCTTCCTTGTAAATATGATTAAACTTCAGCTACAATCTTTTCAGTTACTGCTGTATGCCCAGGCCGTTGCAGCAATCACACAGATGTGCACAATTCAAGATATGGAAGACTGAATTATCCCTGGCTGGGCAACTGCCAGGAAACAGAAAGAAAAGCAGAGCTATCAAAGCATGGATGAGAAAGAAATAACCCTCCTGAATGCAATAGGGCATCCTGAAACCCAATTTCGCTTGGACTGCTAGCTAGCAATCTTGCCAGTTGGAATCACATTTTTAAAAACTATTCAGTTAAAATAACTATTCAGGCCTGCATATTTTATTATGCTTGAGAGGAATTATCCAGTTATCTATGCCATCCTAGGGGACGTGGTGGCTCAGTGGCTAAGATGCTGAGCTTGTCGATTTGAAAGGTCGGCAGTTCAGCGGTTCAAATCCCTAGTGCCGCGTAACGGGGTGAGCTCCTGTTACTTGTCCCAGCTTCTGCCAACCTAGTAGTTCGAAAGCACGTAAAATATGCAAGTAGAAAAATAGGGACCACCTTTGGTGGGAAGATAACAGCGTTCCGTGCGCCTTTGGCATTTAGTCATGCCGGCCACATGACCACAGAGACGTCTTCGGACAGCGCTGGCTCTTCGGCTTTGAAACGGAGATAAGCACCGCCCCCTAGAGTCGGGAACGACTAGCACATATGTGCGAGGGGAACCTTTACCTTTATGCCATCCTATCATAGTCTTAATAAATTAATCCCTCTCCCTCTCTCTCTTTCCCACTTCCTCTCCATGGTTAGGGTTAAGGGAAGTAGTGGGTTTCAATTTAGTTTGCTACCAGTTCGCTCATGCGCAGAAGCATCCAGGCGGGTGGGCAAAGCCTCCCGCTGCCGCCACTACCAGTTCTCCCAACCTGAGGTGAACCGGTAGCAACTCACCACTGGTTAAGGGCCATCGGGTTAGGTGGATGTTGGGTGATTGCAGAGACAAATGTTGCCAGCCTAACTACTACAGGTAGTCCTTCACTTATGACCACAATTGAGCTCAAAATTTCTGTTGCTGAGCAATGCAGCTGTTAAGTGTGCTTGGCCCCATTTTATGACATTTCTTGCCACAATTGTTAAGTGAATGACTGCAATTGTTAAGTTAGTAACTCAGTTGTTAAGTGAATCTGGCTTCCCCATTGTCTTTGATTGTCAGAAGACTGCCAAAGGTGATCACATGACCCGAGGACACTGCAACCGTCATAAATATATATATCAGTTGCCAAGTGTCTGAATTTTGATTACGTGACAGTGGGGGCGCTACGGTGGTCAGAAGTGTGAAAAACGGTCGTAAGTCATTGTTTCCCATGCCGTTGCAACTTTGAATGGTCAACAAATGGTTGTGAGTTGAGTTCTAGATGTATTAATGCCTCTGTTCCTTCACCTTATCTGTTCCCTTTTCTCTCTTCTGTCTCCTCCAAACTTGATTCTGCCACAAACATTATTTCTAATCTACATCATTGGAAAACCGAAGGATCAGGTTGGGGAAAAATCATTCTGGAAAAAAATCTATATAGTCACTAAAACTTCGGTTTGGTTTGGTGACTGAAGTGCCTCAGATAGAAAGTCCATACAGCGAGTGGTGAGGACAGTTGAGAACATTATAGGAAGCTCGCTTCCTGTTATTCAGAATACTGCTTATAAGCGCTATGTGCTTAGAGCTCAAAGCATTGTTAGAGACCCACACACCCACTTTATAGTCTGTTTCTATTGCTCCCTTCTGGGGGGGAGGTTTCAAAGTATTTCTAGCAAGACTACTAGATTCTGTAACAGCTTTGTTCCTTATGACATCCATCTAGTAAACTTGCAAGATTTGTTTTTCTCACCATGTACATGTCTACATCTGAACTAGACTGTGTTGTTTCTCTGTGTGTCATATATGTGTGTGAGTGTATGTGGGTATATGCATAATGGTTATCTTTTGAGAGCTGAATGCAGCGAAATTTCATTTAAATGTGTCCTGATTAGTGTACATTTAAAGTGACAATAAAACTCTATTCTATTCTATTCTATTCTATTCTATTCTATTCTATTCTATCTATTCTATTCTTTCTATTCTATTCTATTCTACCTACCCTACCCTACCCTACCCTACCCCTACCCTACCCTACCCTACCCTACCCTACCCTACCCTACCCTACTCTACTCTACTCTATTCTATTCTATTCTATTCTATTCTATTCTAATTCTATTCTATTCTATTCTATTCTATTCTATTCTATTCTATTCTACTCCATTCCATTCCATTCCATTCCATTCCATTCTTGATGAGAGGATCAATCATACATGAATACTTCTCTGTGTAGCATTGCTCTTTGAGTTGCCCTACTATCTCCTTACTAATGATTGTTCATCTCCTTTCTGTGTTCAGCATTCTTTTTGCAGATGTGAAAGGATTCACCAATCTCTCTACAACATTATCGGCTCAAGAGCTGGTACGGATGCTGAATGAACTTTTTGCCAGATTCGATCGCTTAGCACACGTGAGTCCAACTGCTGATGTCTTTTTCCTGAACTTCGGTAGAGAATCACGATGGAAAAAAAAAAAAAAAGAAATGCATTCACAAAGAGATACTTAAATCAAATTTGCACATTTGGTGACTCAAAAGGCCAAATGCAAAATTTTGCTTTTAGTTTCCGAGTGCATCTCAGTTTTTCAGTCTAAGGCAGGCACAGCTAACATGTGCTCGGTAGGCTGTTTGTAGTGGTTGCACAGTCTTGAAATATCCCTGATTTTAATCTTGCTGGATTAATGGAACTGTTCCTTCCATTTATTTGCCTGGCCAAATTGCCTTTTTCTTCATTTGAAGCAAATGTTTCCTTCCCATCACATGTCTCATGAAATTAGATAATGTTCCTTGAGAAACCAACTCAAACCAGTTCAGGTAGCAAGTTTTATTCTCCATTTCTCCTGATGTACCCAAATCTCCGGACTCCTTAGTGGGAAAATAAATGCTTTAAATATTGTGGTCTATTTGCATAATCTTAAAGGGGAAACTGAGTTTTACTGGAGAAAAGTCTTTCCTGCAATCAGAACCACTCTGTAAACCAGGGTGTCAAACTCGCGTTGTCACATTGTCGTCATGCAGTAGTGTGTTTCAGAATCCATCGCTACCGGTTCGCTCATGGGCACGTGCGAATGTAAGCTTCTATGCATGCACAGAATCATCTGGGCAGGTGGGCAGAGCCTCCCGCCCCCGCTACCGATTCGCCTGATCCGGGGCGAACTGGTAGCAACCCACCACTGTCATCACGTGATGTATCACGACTTTTTTCCCCTTTGCTAAAATCGGGGAGGGCCTGGCCAGTGCATGACGCATCTGGCCCGTGGGCCGCGAGTTTGACACCCCTGCTGTAAACCAATCTTTTTCAACCTTAGCTCCTTTAAGATGTGTGGACTTCAACTCCCAGAATTCCTCAGCCAGCATTTGGCTGGCTGGGGAATTCTGAGAATTGAAGTCCACACATCTTCAAGTTATCAAGGTTGAAAACACTGCTGTAGACACTAAACAAGAGGGTTGAATTTGGCAAAGAAGCTAAGTTTGTTATCAACAGATGGTGCAAGTAACCTCCACAGCTGAGAAATGATCAATAAGAAGACTGTTACTCTTAAAGGATAGAAAAGGGAGTCACAACGTTTAAGCCCTAGGACTATTAGAGGACTTGATTGCTTAATTGACAGATGAGTTGTCCTCTTCTCCGGTTTCTTTGGAGATATGGTATCCAACTTCCTCCATTTTTCTTCAGAGCCAAGTTTCCTAACTGAGATTAATAGCACACTCTTAGCATCTGCCAAGAATCTGGCATACCAGCCCTTGTTGAAAGACTCTGCACAATTCATAATATGGCATAGGACATAGGAGGGAGGGAAGCAGGGAGGAATGGTGCAGAAGTTCATTGACTTTATTCAATGCCAGTTTTTCTTGCTTATTTTCTGACATGTTGTATTTTTCATGTTTCTCAAGCTTGCTTTAAATCATGCCTGGGAATTTTGTCATAGGTTATAAGAAGTTGGGGGGGGGGAAATCAGATTAAACCAAAATTTACTTAGTCCTTTAATTTGTTCGTTATTTCGAAGCTCAAAAAATAGGACATGAATTCAACTTCCTGTCATCTGGTTGTTGTAGTCTGAATCATCAATGATTATCGAGACTGATATTGTTTAAAAGGCTATTCTTCATAAATTAGTCTCCTTTGTAACTTTTAAAATTCTCTAACACAAAACGCAATACATCTTCTATTGGAGAATTCCACCGTTTAATTATACTGTGCCCTATATAAAAAAAAAAAACCTTCTTTTAATCTGACATGTATCTTCTAGCATTCAGAATTGTTCTCACCAGCAATAATGTACATTAAACCTCCATCTCCGAGGATGGAACTTCCTCCTCGCTTAGATTTTCATGCAGAGGTGAGATGTTCTCTTGCATTCTGTGGGTCAAGAGCAGTGGTGGGATTCATATAATTTACAACTGGTTCTCTGCCCTAATGACTGGCTGGGTGGGCGTGGTGGGAGTGGCTGGGTTGGGCATGGCTGTGGTGGGCATGGGCGTGGTGGGCGTGTCCAGGGGGTGACAGGCAGCACTCGGCCTCATGCACCCCCATGGGAGCAAAAACGGGCTGCCGGGGGGAAGGGATGCACTGCCCCCCCATTCCCCGTTTTGGGCCTAGTAGGCCCCCCTGCACCCGCCGGGGAGCAAAAACGGGGGGGGGGGGGCTGTGCCGCACATCCCCACATCCCATTTTGAATCTAGGAAGCCTTCCTGAAGCCTGCTGGGAAGCGAAAACGGGCCTAGGAAGCCTCCCTGAAGCCTCCTGAGAGCAAAAATGGGCTGCGGGTGGGGCACGTTCCCCCTCATGCCCCATTTTTGGCCTAGGAGGCCTCCTTGCTCTTAACTGGGAGCCAAAATGGGATGCGTGAGGACTCCTGGAAAAGGCGGGGCAGGAAGGGGCGGGGCCAGCCAGCAATTTAACTACTGGTTCACCCGAACTGACCCAAACTGGCTGAATCCCACCGCTGGTCAAGAGTAAGCTTCAGTTAAATAGCCTTCAAAAACCTCTTAAACTGCAATGATTCATATTTCATCTTCATTCATTAAGTCATAACATGACCGAGCTATTACTAATCCATCATATTAAATGAGTAAATATTCAATGAACGAAAAACATCTCGCTGAGTCATCGAGGAACGCATCTGCTATTATGAACTAATTTTAGTGGGTTCAATCTGGCATGCTGTCCTGTGGTTAGCGGCCTACAGCTTTGGTTATCGGAGTTCATGACATTCCCCTCCAGGATTCTGCTCATGTAGGGAGAAGCTGGAAGTGCAGAAAATTGTATTGTCAAAAAACTGTATTGTCTTTGCTATGTTTACAGGCTTAGGTGATGATTGGTGGTGGTAGTGACGGTGAGATGTACAGATAGTCCTCAATTTACAATCACAGTTTGGATCAGAAGCTGTCTTGCTAAGCGATTGCAGTCATTAAACGAGTCATCAGAATAACAGACATATTTTTTTCAGGAAAAATAAAACCAAGAAACATGAAAACTGGAGGACCATCAAGTAAACAAGAGAAAATATTTTCTAATAGTTTGAGCCATACTCTGATAGAAACAGATATTTTTTAAAAAAATTCACCCCCATCTTTATGATTTCTGTGTCTCCGTGATGTAATTCTTATGGCCTGTTTTTCCAAGCTGCCATTACTACACATAGTGCGGAGACCATCTGGAGACGCATCAGAGCACAGATGGAAATCTGTCATCTTTGTCCTGCTAGGCAGCCAACTTTCCAGGGATTGTAACCTATTCTAGAGCAGGCTCATAGACATACACACTTACATCATCTTTGTCTGGAAGATATCCAGTTCATTGCATGGGCTAATCCAATTTTTATTGTGGTCTAATAGAGGATAAGGAGAATAGAATAGTTCTCCTTATCTCGGGTGGCACTATGGCTCAGGGGTTACTGGGCTTGTCGGTTTGTTGGCCCAGGTTCAAAACCTGAATGCCACATGATGGAGTGAGCTCTTGTCCCTTCCTGCAGCTCCTGCCACTCTAGCAGTTCGTGAGTAGATAAATAGGTACCACTTCAGTGGGAAGTTAACTGTGCTCCGTGATGTTATGCTGGCTACATGACCACAGAAATGTCTTCGGACAGAGCTGGCTCAATGGCCTTCACATGGAGATGAGCATCGCAATGACCAAAGGAGTAAAATCCTCTGGGACTCCTTTATCTTTACTTTCCTTATCTTCTATTAGACCAGAATAGAAGTTGGATTCTATCCAGTACAATATTCCCAGTCTTTCTAGATTATGAAACACACATCACATTTTAGAATTAACAGGGTTAGGAGAGATGATATAAAGCATTACTACCACATCTTGGGCCTCCTTCAAAGTTTTTAAAATTTCTTATAGTATCATAAAAAAAGCATTATTTTTTGCCCTTTGTTTCTGCCAAGAAACTGCTGTTTACAGTAGACTGAGTGCATTGTAATTTAAATGGTAACACCCAGATGAGTTTGGCTAAATCTACATCATCATTGATCATCTTTATGATCATCTCTAGATAAATCAATTAGAGACAGTTTGGCCAAAACTTTGTTCCAAATAAGAAATGTCTAGTAGTTAAGGTGCCAGGTTAAAAGACTGGAGATCATGAGTTCAAATTGCACCTTACCCATGAAAACCGGTTGGGTGACTTTGAGCCAATTACTAGGAGACTGAGTTCTAGTCGCACCTTAGGCAGAAAGCTGCCTGTGTAACTTTGGGCCAGTCTCTTTCTTTCTCCCTCTCTCCCTCCCTCTTTCCTTCTCTCTCCCTCCTTCTCTCTGTCTCTGTCTCTCTCCTTCTCTGTCTCTCTCTCTCTCTCTCTCTCTCCTTCTCTCTGTCTCTCTCCTTCTCTGTCTCTCTCCTCTGTCTCTCTCTGTCTCTCTCTCTGTCTCTCTCCTTCTCTCTCTCTCTCCTTCTCTCTGTCTCTCTCCTTCTCTTTCTCTCTCCTTCTCTCTCTCTCCTTCTCTCTCTCTCCTCTGTCTCTCTCTCCTTCTCTCTCTCTCTCTCTCCTTCTCTGTCTCTGTCTCTCTCCTTCTCTCTCTCTCCTTCTCTGTCTCTGTCTCTCTCTCTGTCTCTCTGTCTCTCTGTCTCTCTGTCTCTCTCTCTCTCTGCTCACTAAGGACCAGATCCAAATAAACAAACAAACAAAGTGCCCTACAGTGGGATAACAATAGCAGCTCGTCATTGCCCAAGTAGATCACTAATACCTTGTAATCTGAGAACTCTAATCTGCATTCAGATTGCCATCTTCATCATTGTCCGATTACTAGATTCCTCTTATTATAATCTAAACATGGGGAATTTTTCCTGTTGAGTTCTGATATGGGTAACTTAGCAAGGTGGGTTTCACATAATTTTACCACCGGTTCGCCGCACACTGAAAATGTGAGCACGCACCTTCCACACCTGTGCGCGACCTTCCGTGCATGCGTTTTGCTTGCACGCGTGGCTTGCAGGTATGTGCGTGGCTTAGAAAACATGGCTAAATAGGACGGCATAACGCCAGCGTGCAGGGTGCCCGCAGGGCGCTGCTACCAGTTCACTCAAACCAGTCTGAACCAGCTGAATACCACTACTGGTTTCAGATCTTGAAAGGAATTAAGATCCTGTTCTTTGCGGAAAATAGCAAGACTTGTTTCTTTCCAGATACAGAAAGGCATGTCCATCCTTTTCTCCCTGGTGTTCATCCTATCCATCTTCCTTTTGTATAAATAATTTCAGAGCTGCTATTCTTCTTCTTCTTTTTTATCTCCAGGAACATCACTGCCTTAGAATTAAGATCCTGGGAGATTGCTACTACTGTGTCTCTGGTCTTCCCGAGCCTCGGCAGGATCACGCTCACTGTTGCGTTGAGATGGGACTCAGCATGATCAAAACCATCAGGTAACTTGTGTTTCGTTTTATTGTTGCCCTCATACTGTGCTGCGGTCTGTGGTTTTACAGCTCTGACCTTGGGACAATAGAATATTTTGAAGGAACTTTGTCTTCCCCACTCCTACCCACTTAAAAAAGAAAGAAAGAAAGAAAGAAAGAAAGAAAGAAAGAACTAATCCTCTTTGCAAAAGACATTTGAGCAGAAACTTGGATTCAGGATTGTGTACGGAGTATTGCAGAACGGAGTATAGCTTGCAATTCAGCTACAGCCAGAAAACTATTCCTGGTTACCATTTCTTTCTTTCTTTCTTTCTCTAAACCGTTTAGAGAGGGCTGTAAAGCACTGTGAAGCGGTATACAAGTCTAAATGCTATTGCTAAGCGCTATTTCTTGTTGGAATCTAGTTTAGAGCAGGAATATTTTGGTCAAAGTTAGGAATGGAGCAGCCTGACTTGAAATTTTCCATCACATAACTCTTTAACATAGATAGATAGATAGATAGATAGATAGATAGATAGATAGATGATAGATAGATAGATAGATAGATAGATATAGATATAGATATAGATAGAGATAGAGATAGAGATAGAGATAGAGATAGAGATAGAGATACAGATACAGATACAGATACAGATACAGATACAGATACAGATATCAGAAGTGGGTTTCAGCAGGTTCTGACCAGTTCTGGAGAACCGGTAGCGGAAATTTTGAGTAGTTCACAGAACCAGTAGTAAAAATTCTGACTGGCCCCGCCCCCATCGATTCTCTGCCTCCCGAGACCCAGCTGATTAGGAGGAAATGGGGATTTTGCAGTAACCTTCCCCTGGATTGGGGAGGGAATGGAGATTTTACAGTATCCTTCCCCTGCCATGCCCACCAAGCCATGCCCACCAAGCCACACCCACAGAACCGGTAGTGTGTGTGTGTGTGTGTGTGTGTGTGTGTGTGTGTGTGTATATGTATATGTATATGTATATGTATATGTATATGTATATGTATATGTATATGTATATGTATATGTATTTAAAATGGAAGCAACAACCACTTGCTTCTGCTATAGGAATGTTTTTATTGTTGTTGTTTATGTATGGTTTACCAGATAGTTTTATCTATATTTAATACTTTTGGCTACCACATCCTTCCTAAGGTTTTAGGATATCTAAAGATGCTATCGTAATAAGTATTTTATTCAAAGTAATGCATTGTTTTGTCATGTTTCGTTACGATCCTATCCATTCCTATGATGCCATCTTGGGATGACACCCAGTGCCCCAACTACTATTAGCACCACTACAGCTTTATTTTTTCCACATTTGCTAAATCTCTATTTGAAGATCTTTCTATTTCCATATCCCCCCACCCCCGGTGGTTTCTCATTCACCCTTCAATCTCCAGCTACTAACATGTCAATTAACTGCACTTGCTCCCATGTAATAGCAATAACACTTAGACTGATATACGGCTTCACAGTGCTTTACAGCCCTCTCTAAGCAGTTTACAGAGTCAGCACATTGCCTTCAGCACTCTGGGTCCTCTAGTCTAAAATAGAATAGAATAGAATAGAATAGAATAGAATAGAATAGAATAGAAATAGAATAGAATAGATTAGAATAGAATAGAATAGAATAGAATAGAATAGAATAGAATAGAATAATAGTTGGAAGGGACCTTGGAGGTCTTCTAGTCCAGCCCCTTGCTCAAGCAGGAGAACGTATACCCTTTCAGATAAGTGACTGTCTAGACTCTTCTTAACAACATCCACTGATGGAGTGCCCACGAGACAAGCTAGTCATCATTGTTATTATTAATTTATTTTAAGACCATATGTATTAATACCAAATATAAGCAGAACACCAATAAAAGCACAACAGCAACACATTTCCAAAAGCCCATTCCATTATATTCGGAACAATATCACTTTTCCAATTTCACAGTAAAGATCTTCCTGTGCATGATGCAACCATGAGTCCTCACAATCTGATTCTTGAGCTATGGTATATAATTCAACCTGCACATTAACATCTTGAAGGTCTAAAGAGTTCCCCATAGATCAACTTATGTCTATTAAAATGCAATACTGGAAAAGTGTCAAGAATTCATAGGACCACATCATATGGGTTAACGCAACCCCCTGATTTTACATCTCCAGCAGAGAAAATCTGTTGTCCTTCTTTTCAAGGAGGACAACCATTTAGATATGAGCCAGCAGTGTGCAGCAGCTGCCAAAAAAGCCAACACAGTTCTAGGCTGCATAAACAGAGGGATAGAATAAAGATCACGTGAAGGGTTAATACCACTTTATAATGCCTTAGTAAGGCCACACTTGGAATTCTGCATCCAGTTTTGGTCGCCATGATGTAAAAAAGATATCGAGACTCTAGAAAGAGTGCAGAGAAGAGCAACAAAGATGATTAGGGGACTGGAGGCTAAAACATACAATGAACGGTTGCTGGAATTGGATATGTCTAGTTTAATGAAAAGAAGGACTAGGGGTGACATGATAGCAGTGTTCCAATATCTCATGGACTGCCACAAAGAAGAGGGAGTCAAGCTATTCTCTAAAGCACCTGAAGGCAGGAAAGAAGCAATGGGTGGAAACTAATCAAGGAGAGAAGCAACCTAGAACTAAGGAGAAATTTCCTGACAGTGAGAACAATTAACCAGTGGAACAACTTGCCTCCAGAAGTTGTGAATGCTCCAACACTGGAAAGTTTTAAGAAGATGTTGGATTACCATTTGTCTGAAGTGGTGTAGGGTTTCCTGCCTAAGCAGGGGGTTGGACTAGAAGACCTCCAAGGTCCCTTCCAATTCTGTTATTCTGTTCTGTTCTGTCCAAGTATATTCTTCCAGGAATCCAATATACATTCTCATAGCCTGCACTCCTCAAAATAAAAACACCATTTCTGCTTTACGTTGTTCAAAGAACTTGCCATGACTACAAAGGGAATGAAAAATAGCTTTCCAATATGGGCTATAAAAAACAATGTTCCATAAATTGTCATTCTAAGTATTCATGGCTGATAAAATAAGCCCAATTATATTTTTTGTAAATTAGATATATTAAAACCGCCCTCCTCCAAGGATAATCTCAATTTAACTAATGAACATCTCAAGGGCCTACTATCCCAAATAAATTTCCTAAATAACCTCGTAATGTGGAGAAAATTTGCATTAGGTATTAACATTAGAACACTTCTAAGGACATCAATCAAATAAGGGATAATATCTATGTTAATAACATTAACCCCATAGGCATAGTGGGATCTTAATGCCTCTATTCATATCCGATTCAACTTTCTAAAAGTTTCCGCATATTTACTTTCACATATTGAGAAATGTTTTGGGGAACATAAAAGTGTTTTATATAATCGGTTTAAAATTGGCAATGAAAGTATCAAAGTGATGGATAGCTTCTGTATTTTAGGATCAGCACTAAAGGGAAAGTCAAGAAATATGTCATAGACTCTCACTTGGTAGAGCAGCCATGAAAGCAGAGGTGGGCTGCTGGGGGTTTGCAGGGGTTCAGGAGAACCTCTAGCTAAGATTCTGTGCAGTTCGGAGAACCCCCAAATCCCACTTCTCGCTGGCTCCACCCACAATGCCCCGCCCCTCCCAGGAGTCCCCACACGGCCTGTTTTGGATGCAGATAAGTGCAGGGCGCACGTGGAGGCTCAGGAGGACGAAAACCGGGCCTACCGGAAGTTCGGGAAGGCTGGAAACAGGCCTGTTTCTGGCCTCCAGAGGGCCTCTGGAGCCTGGGGATGCTGTTTTCGCCCTCGCGGAGGTTTGAGGAAAGCCTCCAGAGCCCAGGGAGGGCAAAAATGCCCCCGCCCACCGTGGTGTAGGAGGCCGACTAGGCCACACCCACCATGGCCATGCCCACCCAGCAACCGGGCAGAGAACCCCTTGCTAAAATTTTTGAAGCCCACCATGAAGGCCTTGGTAAAAATATTCCAGTGCTGTGATGTGTCTATATTTACAAAGTTTAGAGGTCAGGACAATAAGTAAAAGATGAAAGCTTATCAAAGAGCAATCCAACCTAGAATTAAGGAGAAATTTCCTGTCAGTAAGAACAATTAATCAGTGGAAGGACTTGCCTTCAGAAGTTGTAGGTGCTCCATCATTGGAGGTTTTCAAGAGAAGACTGGACAGCCATTTGTTCAGAATGGTGTAGCGTCTTCTGCCATGGGCATTTGGTTAGATTAGAAGATCTCCAAGGTTCCTTCCCACTCTATTACTCTACATTCTGTGTTATAACCACATGGACGCAACCATCATCTGTCTTTTTGGAAGACAACTTCAGCATGCAGCCGAAACACTAAATGTAATTCTTGGTTGAGAAATATTGCCTGTTCCTTAGATAGACAGAGGTGTCCATCTTAAATATCATGATGGTCCTGCAATTATAGATTCCCTCTCTCTCTCTTGGTCACCACGATGTAAAAAAGATGTTGAGATTTTGGAAACAGTCAAGAGAAGAAGAACAAAGATGATTAGGGGACTGGAGGCTAAAACATATAAAGAACAGTTGCTGGGTATGTCTAGTTTAATGAAAAGAGGGACTAGGGGTGACATGATAGCAGTCGTCCAATATCTCAGGGGCTGCCCCAAAGAAGAGGGAGTGAAGCTATTCTCCAAAGCACCTGAGGGTAGAACAAGAAGCAATGGGTGGAAACTAATCAAGGAGAGAAGCAACTTAGAACTAAGGAGAAATTTCTTGACAGTTAAAACAATTAATCAGTGGAACTACTTGCCTCCAGAAGTTGTGTGTGCTCCAACAGTGGAAGTTTTTAAGAAGATGTTGGATAACCATTTGTCTGAAATGGTATAGGGTTTTCTGCCTGAGCAGGGGGTTGGACTAGAAGACCTCCAAGGTCCCTCCCAACTCTGTTATTCAATATTCTATATGTATATCTCATATCATTGAATTGAATCTTTTCTTAGGTATGTTCGGTCAAGGACAAAGCATGATGTGGACATGAGGATCGGCATACACTCTGGATCTGTGCTGTGTGGGGTCCTGGGTCTGCGGAAGTGGCAATTTGATGTCTGGTCGTGGGATGTAGACATTGCGAACAAACTTGAGTCAGGTGGAATACCTGGGTAAGTGGGATCTGGTCAAATGACGTCATCATGTTCTAGATTTTGAGTCTTACTCTTACAGCAGGAATACTGAAGTTTGGGCTTTTCCCAGGCCCTGTCTGTCTGGAATCAAGACCAGACAAAATCAAAATCAACCTCTCGGTTATAAGCATTGTTTTCTTGGATTTGCTCATCGTTCTGATAAGGAAGGATTTTCTCAATCAAGCTTTATGCCAACAGTGGTCTACAGCAGGAGTCTCCAAACTTAGCAACTTTTAAGACTTGTGGACTTCAACTCCCAGAATTGAGGAATGGCGGAGGAATTCTGGGAGTTGAAGTCCACAAGTCTTATAATTGCCAAGTTTGGAGAACCTTGATCTGCAAGGATGGCCTAGTAGTGGACATTTGGACATTCTGCAAAAATCCAAATTCAGGTCCACCTTCAGCCCTGGAAACTCACTGGGTGACTTGGACGGAAGTCTTGATGTGTCATTCAGCCCATATCACAGACTTCTAGTTGCAAAAACATGGGCATCATATGTACATCGCTTGAAGTTCCTGAAATCTAGCCTCTTCATAGCTTCCCTTCTTAAACTTTACAGATAGCTCTTGACTTATGACTGTAAAGGAACTTTTCCATTATGGTTGTAAGCTGTGATGGTTCTGATTTTACAACCTGTTTTTGTGGTGTTAAACGAATGCCACAGTCATTAAGTAAACCCATTGAGTGGTGCGGGGGCCTAGAGGTGGAGCTCTCGCCTCACAATCAGGAGGCTGTGAGTTCGATCCTAGGTAGAGGCAGATATTTCTCTCTCTGGGTACGATGAGAATATGTCAGCTGAATATAACCCCACATTGGCAACAGGAAGGGCATCCGGCCAATAAACACTCAGCTCCATTCAGTTGCCCAAACTCCATCCCACAAGGGATTATGGGGTCATTAAAAGAAGATGATTACTATATTTTTTGGAGTATAAAGCACACCGGACTATAAGACACGTCTTCTTTTTTTGGTGAGGAAAACAAGAAAAAGAAATCTGCCTCTGCCTCCCAGCAATTTTGCCACATTGCAGCAAACAGCAAACAGCCTGCTTTACTTTCATTTTCATTTTCAGCATAGCCTGATTAGCACAAGAAAAAAAAAATCTGCTCCCAGCAATTTACCTCCTTACAGCAAGCAGCAGTGGCCCCTGCAAAACAGCTGAGAGCAAAACAGCTGAGAGCAGGGAGGCCGATCCAATCAACTTGAGCTAATTAGGCTGTGCTGAAGCTGAAAGAAGCTGTTTCTTCTTGCTGCTTGCTGGGAGGTAAATTGCTGGGAGGCAGAGGCCAAAAGGTGGGGGCCAGTGGGTGGGCAGGGCTACATTTGGTGTATAAAATGCACCTAAATTTTCACCCCCTTCTGGGAGAGAAAAAGGTGGGTCTTATACTTCAAAAAATACGGTAAGTAAACCCACTGTTTGCTATGAGGCATGTTTACCACAACCAGAAATAAACCCAGTTTCCGGCCAAAGTATTGTAAATTATGATCATGTGACTGTAGGACACTAAGAATGGCCATAAATGTGGGCCAGTTACCAAGCGCCTGAAATGTGGTCACCTGTCCTGGAGGGCAGACATCAGAATTTCAGAATCAGGTACAGGTAATCTTTGACTTACAACCATTTGTTTAATGATAGTTTGAAGTCACCCAGCACTGAAAAAAAGTGCTTATGACCATTTTTCACATTTATGACCTTTGCAGCATCCTCATGGTCATGTACTCAAAATTAGGGCACTTGGCAACTGGCATGTATTATAGCAATAGTACTTAGACTTATATACCGCTTCAGCGTGCGTCACAGCCCTCTCTAAGCGGTTTACAGAGTCAGCCTATTGCCCCCAACAATCTAGGTCTTCATTTTACCCACCTCGGAAGGATGGAATGCTGAGTCAACTTTGAGCCAGGTCAAGATCGAACTGTTGGCACTGAGTTGAATTAGCCTGCAATACTGCATTCTAACCACTGCGCCACCACTGCTCTTATTTATTATTTATGATGTTTGCGCTGTCCCTGGGTCACATGATCACCATTTGCAACCTTCTCAGCTGGCTTCCAACAAGCAAAGCCAATGGGGGAACCTAGATTCACTTAACGATGGCATGGTTCACTTAATAATGACAGTGAGTCACTTAGCAACTATGGTAAAAAAAAAAGGTCATAAAATGAAGCACAACTCACTTAACAAGTATCTTGCTTAGCAGCAGAAATTTTGGTCACACATCGAACACTATATCAGTATCTTCTAGAAGAATCTGTTGTAACCTCAGATGGTTTATTTATTTTTATTTATTTGTTTCAATTTGTATACCGCCCTTCTCCAATAGGACTCAGGGCGGTGAACAGCCAAAATAAAAACAAAACATACAAAATTTAAAAACAGTTTAAAATAATTAAATATTTTTGGCCGCAATTTAAAACAAACCCAATTTAAAATCAATTAAAATTTAACCCAAAACTGTGGGATCAAGCCAGCCCATTGCTAAGCAAGTATTTGTAAGTCGAGGACTTCTTGAAATGGCTTTGTGTGTGTATGTAAATTTTTTTTGTTGTTAGTTGCGAAGTTTTGTCCGACCCATCATGACCCCATGGACAATGTTCCTCGAGGCCTTCCTGACCTCTACCATCCCCTGGAGTCCATTTAAGATCACGGCTACAGCTTCAGTGACTCCATCCAGCCACCTCGTTCTCTGCCGTCCCCTTTTTCTTTTGCCCTCAATCGTTCCCAGCATTAGGCTCTTCTCCAATGAGTCCTTCCTTCTCATTAGGTGGCCATAGTATTTGAGTTTCATCTTCAGAATCTGACCTTCTAAAGAACAATCAGGGTTGATCTCCTCTAGGACTAACCGGTTTGATCGCCTTGCAGTCCAAGGGACTCACAGGAGTCTTCTCCAGCACCAGAGTTCAAAGGCCCAGCATTAGGCTCTTCTCCAGTGAGTCCTTCCTTCTATGCATGTGTGTGTATGTGTATACATACTTATATACACATACACACATATACATATACATACATATAAAGAAAAAAGCAGACGAGTTCCAGGTATATTAGTAAAGAAAGAAGCAGACATCCTGCGAGCTCCAGAACTTAAAATTTTAAAATAATTAAAATTTTATTTTACTAAGCTTTCGTTAGCCATCTGCTGACATTGTCAGAGTAATACTCTGACGATGTCAGCAGATGGCTGACGAAGGCTTAGTAAAATAAAATTTTAATTATTTTAAAATTTTAAGTTCTGGAGCTCGCAGGATGTCTGCTTCTTTCTTTACTAATATACCTGGAACTCGTATTTTTAGAATAGTGTGTAACACATACATATATACACATACCGGTATATATACATATACACATATGCATATACATACATATACATACAGTAGAACCTCTGGTCACGAATGCTTCTGACAATGACCAAATCGGGTTCTAACCAAAAAATTCACAATTTTTTTTAATCTGATCACAAACACATACTCGGGGGGTGGGGGCGGAATCAAACATGGCAGCAGGCAATTTCCCCTTCTGCGCCATTTTTTTGGTAAGCGCTAAACAACAGCGACTTTCATGTGGCCGCGTGCATTAATTTTGGTTAGGTTCGGATCACAACCAAATTGGGTTGTGACCAAAGTAATGGAACGAATTATGGTCGTGACCAGAGGTTCTACCATTAGGTGGCCAAAGAATTTGAGTTTCCTCTTCAGGATCTGGCCTTCTAAAGAGTTGATCTCCTCTAGGACTGACCGGTTTGATCGCCTTGCGATCAGTGGTGAAATCAGAACCGGTTCGCTGGCTGCGCATATGGCGCATTAGGTAGCTCAGTTGTGATCGTCAGAGCCTTTTTTTTAACCTTTTAAAAGCATTTTTTTTACAACCTATTTGGCCGAATAGGTTGTAAAAAAAATGCTTTTAAAACTTAAAAAAAAAAAAAAGGCTCTGACGATCAGGCAGCTCAGCTGGAATCATCAGAGACTTTTTTTTTTAACCTTTTAAAAGCATTTTTTGAAAGAAGCGGGCAAGCACGTGACCAGATGATTGGGTGGGCATGGGCGGGGTGGGGGGCAGGGATTTTTGCTACCAGTTCTTTGAACAACCCACCACCATCGCTACCGGATTAGCTGATCCGGTCCGAACTGGGATCATTTCACCCCTGGGTTCTCCTGTACATACATATCACAGAGGGCCATGGATTTATTAGACATCTTTTCTCATCAGGGAAGTCAGTGACTGTCATAGAACGTCATCACAGAACATCATAGAACATCAAAGTTGGAAGGGATCTTGGAGGTCTTCTAGTCCAACCCTTTCCTCAAGCAGAAGACCCTATATCATTTCACACAAATGGCTGTCCAGACTCTTCTTAAAAGCCTTTAAAGATGGAGCACCAACAATTTTTAAAGGCAAACCGTTCCACTGGTTGATTGTTCTCACTGTCAGGAAATTTCTCCTTAGTTCTAGCTTGCTTCTCTCCTTGGTTAGTTTCCATCCATGGCTTCTTGTCTTGCCCTTTGGTGTTTTGGAAAAGAAGTTGACCCCGCCTCTTCTTTGTGGCAGCCCCACAAATATTGGAACACCGCCATCTTTCTTTTCACTAGACGAGACATACCCAACTCCTGCAACCTTTCTTCATATGTTTTCATATGTCACTCTGGAGAAGACGACGAAGCAATCAATAGTGCAGAGTTTGCAAAATTCTCTTTAGAATTCCATGCTCGCAGAACCCAAAAACATGATTCTGTTATAAAATCCATCTGGCTTTGCTGCAACACACAATGTTTATTTATTTATTTATTGGTTCGATTTATATGCCGCCCTTCTCCAGAGATTCAGGGCGGCTTACAATGCATTAAGCAATAGCCTTCATACTTTTGTATATAACTGCTTAGTAGGGCTTTCGCCCCCCCCAAGCGGTGTTCTTTTTTTATACAAAGTCAGCTTATTGCCCCCACAATCCGGGTCCTCATTTTACCTACCTCGAAAGGATGGAAGGCTGAGTCAACCTTGAGGCTGGTGAGATTTGAACTTGCAGTAATTGCAGGCAGCTGGTGCTATTTAACTGCACTTTAGTCTGCTGCGCCACCAAGGCTCTTGCAATGTTATAATAATGCTCTGAAGTATAATAGCGTCAAGACATTGGACTGCTCAATCTTCTGTTCCATTTTTCTTTCTGGCATTTCATAATTTCGGACAAAGCCCTTTATCTCCCTGCCGGCAGGACTCAACTGCATGTCACTGATCTCTGCATAATCAGAAATGTTGCAGTCATCGGAACAAGAACGCCTCTCTGCAAAAGATGCTGATAGCTTAATAACGATACTTACTACTCAGGCAGAAAGCTGCCATATGCTCAAAATTACATAGCCCACCGGCCTGATTTCAGCGTTACTGCTAGTAATGCAGGCATAGTTCAGAAGTGGTTCTTATCTACATAGGGTCGTAATAAAACCAATAAAAACCACTAATAAAAATAAAATCCAGTTTAATCTAGTGGTTAAGGCACCAGGCTAGACACCAGGAGACAGTGAGTTGTAGTTCTGCCTTAAGCATGAAAGCCTTGAGTTATGTATAAGAATAATAAAGGGAGGATAAAAAAAACAAATTAATAATATTAGAAGATCAACAGCAAGTGGGAAAATCCCATATCACAATATCTGGACTTGAGGCTAAAACATATAGAGAAGGGTTGCAGGAACTGGGTATGTCTAGTTTAATGAAAAGAAGGACTAGGGGAGACATGATAGCAGTCTTCCAATATCTCAGGGGCTGCCACAAAGAAGAAGGGAGTCAAGCTAGTCTTCAAAGCACCTGAGGGCAGGACAAGAAGCAATGAGTGGAAACTAATCAAGGAGAGAAGCAACCTAGAACTAAGGAGAAATTTCCTGACAATTAGAACAACTAATCAGTGGAACAACTGGCCTCCAGAAGTTTCCAGCTCCAACACTGGAAGTTTTTAAGGTGTTGGATAACCATTTGTCTGAAGTGGTGTAGGGTTTCCTGCCTAAGCAGGAGGTTGGACTAGAAAACCTCCAAGGTCCCTTCCAACTCTGTTCTTCTCTTCTCTTCTCTTCTCTTCTCTTCTCTTCTCTTCTCTTCTCTTCTCTTCTCTTCTCTTCTCTTCTCTTCTCTTCTCTTCCATTCCATTCCATTCCATTCCATTCTATCTCTATCTCTATCTCTATCTCTATCTCTATCTCTATCTCTATCTCTATCTTTTTATATACTTTCTAACAGCCATGTGTGGTTCATCATACAGAAAACGGTCCCAATCCTTGAAAGGAGCATTACTCTTGAAAACTTTAAAATCTTCTGTTAACAGTCTTGTTGTTGTATATGATTTGCAGAAAGTCTATAGTGGCTTCTCATCTACCACACATTACCACAATCAATATCTCTGATCCGTCCAGGACATGCACCATTTTTAAAATGTTTTGTTTTGTTTCGTTTCATGTTTATACATTTTCTTGAATAAAATAAAATTTAAAGAGAGGGTGAGAAGTGGTTCTTTGATCAGCCCAGGAAGTACCAAAAGAAAAAAAAGAATAAATTGCTTTCCAGAGTGGCTCATATTAGCATATGAGGCATTTTGGCTGTTTAAATTTATAATTGGTTTTAACTGGGTTATTTTAAATTGATGGCCAAAATTATTTATGTTTTTTTAAATTGCTTTTAAATTTTATATGTTATGTTTTTACCGTGGCTGTTCACCGCCCTGAGTCCTGAGAAGGGCGGTATACAAATTAAATAAATAAATAAAATAAATAAAAAGGAAGAAACTTCAAGAGTTTTCTTACCCCACTATAAGGACTTTATATATTTCCAAAAAGATGTTTTTTTAAAGGAGAACAATTAATGCTGACTATTTCAGCTAATATTGGAGTTAGACTAGAAACTAGGAGATTGTGAGTTCTAGTCCCATTTTAGGTGCGAAACCATCTGGGTGAAATTGGGCCAGTCATTCTCTTTCAGCCCTAGAAAGCAGGCAAGAGCAAACCACTTCCTGAGAAAACCACAGGGACTGGTGTAGGCATTTGCCAGGAATCAACATTGAGTAGGCACATAGAGGTAGTCCTCGACTTACGATGACAATTGTACCCCAGATTTCTGTCCCTTAGTGAGACATTTGTTAAAGAGAGTTTTGCCCCCTGTTTACGACCTTTCTTGCCACAATTGTTAAATGAATCACTGCAGTTGTTCAGTTAGGTTGTTAAACGAATCTGGCTTCCCCATTGTCTTTGCTTGTCAGAAGTTCGAAAAAGGTGTATCACATGACCCGCGGGAAGCTGCAACCATCATAAATATGAGTCAGTTGCTGAGCATCTGAATTTTGATCACGTGACCAAGGGGATGCTGCTAGGGTTGCAAGTGTGAAAAACGGTCATAAGTCACTTTTTTCAGCGCCGTTGTAACTCCAAATGGTCTCTAAATGAACGGTTGTAAGTGGGGGACTATCAGTACCAGAGGTGGGATTCAGCCGGTTCGGGCAAATAGGATGTTTATTTTATTTATTTATTTTATTTATTGAATTTGTATACCGCCCTACTCCCGAAGGACTCAGGGCGGTGAACAGCCATAGAATAAAACATATAAATACAAAATTTAAAATAGATTAAAACGAATTAAATAATTTGGCTGAACAAATTTAAAACCCCAATAATTTAAAATCTGGTTCGCCAAACTGATAGTTGCAAGGACTGGATGACCCTACCCACCCAACCCCTCACAGGAGTCTCCATGTGGCCCATTTGAGATGCCAGATAAGTGCAGCGCCTGTGTGGAGGCTCTGGAAGGGTGAAAAATGGGCATCCCAGAAGTTCTGGAAGTCCAAAAATGGGTCCATTTTCAGACTCTGAAGGACCTCCGGAGCCCGGGGAGGCCGTTTTCACCCTCCCAGAAGCTCAAGGAAAACCTCCGGAGCCTGGGGAGGGTGAAACACACACACACACACACACACACACACACACACGTGATGCAGGAGGCCGAATAGGCCACGCCCATCACAGCCATGTCCACCCAGCACCTGGGCAGAGAACCAGTTTTTAAAATTTTTGAATCCCACTCCTGATCGGTACATACAATATAACTCTACCCAGCGATTCATTGGGAGCCAAACATGGAAATCCACTCCTGACAGAATTTGCAGCAGAACTTTTTTCAGCCGCAGAAAAGCATTTGGCAACGTTTTGCCACTTGGCGTTCCTCAGAATTGCCCAACCTGTGCCTCCCTTCCATCCATCCTGCTCCTTCTTTCCCTCTCCATGTAGGCGAATCCACATATCCAAGGCGACTTTGGATTGTCTCAATGGGGATTACAAAGTGGAGGAAGGACACGGCAAAGAACGCAACGAATTTTTGAGGAAGCACAACATCGAGACCTACTTGATCAAACAGCCCGAGGAAAACCTGCTGACTTTACCCGAAGACATTGTCAAAGAGTCGATCCCTTCTTCGGATAGGAGAAACAGTGGACCCACTTTCACGGAAGGATCCTGGAGCCCCGAGCTGCCTTTTGATAACATCGTGGGAAAGCAGCATGTAAGTTTAATGTTCCTCTTTAATATCTACCTGCCACCTAGGTTTGACTTGATTTCCATATCCAAGGAAAGGCATTTCTGCTTAGCCTTTCCGCCAAATGACAAGAGCTAATTAAAAATGCTGCCGCTGGGCAGAATTAACCTAGGTATCCAAATGTCCCTTTTCTCTGAGTGTTAGTTGAACTGGAAGCATATCAGAGCTCTGCTCCACAGAAAGCGCGAGAGGCACCATCAAAACACGGTGGCTGAAAACTTGTCATTCCAGACTCTGAAATGGGGTGGGCTGTAGATTTTAGGCATGTTTTAAGCTTAATGTGTTTTTTACTTTGGTGGACCCATGGGTGCCTGAGAGAGAGAGAGAGAGAAAGATAGATGGATGGATGGATGGATGGATAAGTAGTTAGAGGTGGATGAAAAGATGAAAAGAGAGATTAGATACTAATGCATGAGAGAGAGAGAGGGAGAAAGAAAGAAAGAAAGAAAGAAGAGAAAGAAAGAAAAATGATAGGTGGGTGGGTCGATGGACGGATGGATGGATGGAAATGGTGAGGTAGATCAATGAGGGATGGATGGATAGATGGATGGATAGATTCATCTATCCCCATAGATAGATAGATAGATAGATAGATAGATAGATAGATAGATAGATAGATAAAGAGGTAAAAGGATGATGGATGGATAGAGAGAGAGAACATGATTGCTAGATGGATGGATCAGTAGATGAATGAATGGATGGATGACAAAAGAGGCTTAGGTAGATAGATGATAGATAAATGGATAGAGAGATGGATGGATGGATGGATGGATGGATGGATGGATGGATGGATGGAAGGAAGAGACAGACAGACAAACCGACCGACAGACAGACAGACAGGGTTGGATGAATATGGATGGATGGATGGAGAAAGATGGTTAGGTAGATACGTAGATGATGGATAGCTGGATTGATGGAAAGAGAGATAGATACCAATTTAAACTCCTAACTGTTAGTACAACATAAATGTCATAAAGCCAGCCATAATCTTCCCAGGTGGGCAAATGGTAAGTACCCTTGAAGGCTCTTCAGATAGCGGATGGGGAACAGAATGTTTCCCTGCAATGCAGTATCATGAAGAAGATCCTCATGGGGCTGAGGAGAGACACTTGACAAAACGAGCATGTTACTGCCTTACAAACACCACCCCTCTCCTACCTGTGTTGCGATGTCAACATGCAAGTAGTAAGGGGAGGCAGTTGCAGCAAAACAGTGTGGCATATTTGTTGTTCCATTTTTTCATCACATTAACACCCATTGCAATGAATCAAGATTCTCAACCGTTTCTAGTAATTAAGAAAAATTCTGTTACAATATATAGAATAGGAGGGGGAAAAACAAGCCAATCCCCCCCTCATTAAATATATTTAAAAAATGACCGTTTATCTTGGCTATCCTGGCCCTCACATCAAGCTGATTTTCATTGTTTCTGGAGGTCCATCCAGATTTCTAAAAAGGGTCACCTCTGTGAACTAAGAGACATATGTAGAGACAAAGAGTTATTTACATGCTCGTTTTCTCTACATCCAGAAGATTATTACAATGAGGAAAAATCTAGGTTCCATTTTCCTGTCTCATATAGGGATTTATTTACTCACTAGTTGATAACCTGGCATTGCCCGAGTATTTATTTATTCCAATCCTGCCTTTGAGGTAATTATCTGCATTAGCAGGCACCTTCCCCGACAACTTGCCATCTTTGCTTGAAGCTGAGGGCCTAGGGGTGTTGTGGTTTTTTTACAGAACCAATCCCCTTACCAGAGGGAGCCCCCTTGTGGAGTAATGGGAAGCCATGGCAACTCCACTGTGCTGTACAGTAGAAGCCATTTTAAGGCACAACAGGCTATCTTAACAGAACTTGAATCCAAAATGCACACTATCACTGTCAAAAGTACTGTGATTTGACAATATAGATATAATTCATTCTTTTTCATTTCAGTGGCCCAGGCATTCCAGAGCTATGCTGGAACACACACACACACACACACACACACACACACCAAGGGGTGTTAGGGTGTCTTATCCCCACAGTATTTTTTTTCCAGAGAGTAAGTTATCTATGTACTAAGTTTGGTTGAAATTGCTCGAGGCATTCCAGAGTTATGCTGGAACATACATAGAGAGAAAGAGCCATTTTTAGAGAGAGAGAGAGAGAGAGAAGATTACTTCTGCAAAGAGAGGGCTTCATTTCTGTTCAATCTCTTATGAACACTTCCTGACTGATTTTGTCAAGTCATGACACAATTGGTTGCTTCATCTGCTTTATGTTAGAAACTAAACTATAATCCGACAGGGAAAATACTGGCTGGGTTTGTGCAATATACTAGGGATGGCTTGTCTGTCACCCTGATTTTTCCATGAGATTAGGTTGACCCCAGTCTTGGTGGTTATTCAAAAGACCTTAAGACTCGCTCTTCTCCTAGGCACACAGATTGGGAGGTTAGTTGACCCTGTGAGTTATAGTTAATATATATTATATAATTATATTTAATTAATTATAACATAATTATAATTAATTCATTATAATATAATTATATATTTATTTTCAATGGTTGTTCTCAGCTACTATTCTTTTTTATTTTTGTCATGTAGTTATTTATTTTGGTTGTGTTTTTATGGTAATACTGGTATTACTATCTTTATTGGCCACCAGAATGATTTGTGGAAATGATGTTAAATGCTGGGTAAACCAGGAGATTCGGGCAGTTCAAATGAGTATAAAGATTTATTGCAAGCTTAAGTTCTCTACAAGAATCTGAATGACTAACGGTCAAGGGAAATGAAAGGCATTCAAGGTGGGCTGGAATAGAGTAGAGTAGAACAGAACAGAACAGAACAGAACAGAACAGAACAGAACAGAACAGAACAGAACAGAACAGAACAGAATAGAATAACAGAGTTGGAAGGGACCTTGGAGGTCTTCTGATCGAACCCCCTGCTTAGGCAGGAAACCCTACACCACTTCAGACAAATGGTTATCTAATCTCTTCTTAAAAACTTCCAGTGTTGGAGCATTCACAACTTCTGGAGGCAAGTTGTTCCACTGATTAATTGTTCTAACTGTCAGGGAATTTCTCCTTAGTTCTAAGTTGCCTCTCTCTTTGATTAGTTTCCACCCATTGCTTCTTGTCCTGCCCTCAGGGGCTTTGGAGAATAGTTTGACTCCCACTTCTTTGTGGACTTAGCTCTCTTGCGGGCGCGCAGGGACTCGTGACTTATGATGCATTTGACCCTCTCCGTCTGGCTCAGCCTGGTCATCTCCTACAATTGAGTGGAAATATACACTGAAGTTATTATACTATATGTCATTCAGTCAGCCAGATGTTTAGACTGGATTCAGCATTTTTGTCCGCTTATCGAGTCCTTCCCAAGGACCTGAGATAGGCAGAAGTGGATGTTTAAGAAATTGTTATGGTTTGTAATACAGTCAGCCAGAAGTTCAGACTGGATTTGGCATTTTTGTCCACCTATCGAGTCCTACTCAAAGACCTGGGCTAGGCAAATGTGGATGTTTGATGGTATTACAGATATTGTCACAGGATGTAAGCTGTTCTGAGTAAAGCTGCCTTTTGCAATTGACCGATGGTAAACTTCTCGATGCCGATGGTGTTTAAAAGGTGCTCCAGCTGTTGTTGTTTTCAATCAGAATAGAGCTGGAAGGGACCTTGGAGGTTTTCTAATCCTACCTCCTGCTCAAACAAGAGATCCTATACCATTTCAGACAAGTGACTGTCCAGTCTCTTCTTAAAAACCTGCAGTGACGAAGCACCCACAACCTCTGAAGGCAACTTCTGTTCCACTGATTAATTGTTCTCACTGTTAGGAAGTTTCTCTTTAATTCCAGGTTGCTTCTCTCCTTGATTAGTTTCCATCCATTGTTTCTTGTCTTGCCTTCAAGTCAGGGATGGGATTCTACTGGTTCGGACCAGTTCGGACGAACCGATAGCTCCGATGATCAGCTGGGAGCGAACCGGTTTGCTCCGAGGATCAGGTCGGTCTGCCCCACCCCCACCCCTGCGCTTTACTTATCTTTAACTTCTCAGCTGATTGGCATGGCAGAACCGATTGCCGCACCTCAGCTGTGTTACTCCCAAGTGGTAACACGGAAGAATAGTATTTGTAAAACTGTGCATGTGCGCACAGCGTGCCTTAGACATGTGTGTGCATGTTAGGCACGCGCGTGAAGCACGCAATCACTGGACTGGTTGTTAAACCGGCAGCATCCTACCACTGATTCAAGTGCTTTGAAAAATAAGCTGGTCCCCTCTTCTATGTGGTAGCCTCTCAAATATCAGAATACTGTGACCATGTCACTCTTAGTTTTTTATATTTACTATCATGTCACCCCTAGTTTATTGTTGTTACTATTATGATTTAAAATGAGACTGGATCAGAGGTGGGTTTCAGCAGGTTCTGACCAGTTCTGGAGAACCGGTAGCGGAAATTTTGAGTAGTTCGGAGAAGCGGTAGTAAAAATTCTGACTGGCCCCGCCCCCATCTATTCTCTGCCTCCCGAGTCCCAGATGATCGGGAGGAAATGGGGATTTTGCAGTAACCTTCTCCTGGATTGGGGAGGGAATGGAGATTTTACAGTATCCTTCCCCTGCCACGCCCACCAAGCCACGCCCACCAAGCCACACTCACAGAACCGGTAGTAAAAAAAATTTGAAACCCACCACTGGACTGGATGGTTTTTGCTTTGTCACATTGTGGATATCCAGCCTCACCTTAGAATTCAGAGTGACTTCAGCCACCAAATGAAACCATAATAGGGTTTTACTATTTGGGCATAGGGTTAGGGTTAGGATTCCCTAAATACAACATTTGGAGCTTGTGAATCCAAATTTACAGTTTAGTGTGTTGGGTGACCACAGTAGTTGTTTATTCAGGAATCTGTTAACTATGTCTGCATCAGTGGTGGGTTGCTCCCGTTTCGCACCGGTTCACAAGAACCGGTAGTAAAAATT